TGTTAGAGCAGCATAGTCTTTACCATTAGTGAAGATGAAGAAAGAATTGAGGAACAGGAAAATTGGGAGAAGAAACAGATTCTGAAATGAAGAGTACTCAAAGAGTGAAATATTTTTTATTTCTCAATCTTCCCTTTAAATTGCAGCACTCTAGTCAAAGCTATGCCCATCCAAACTGTATTGGATTTAGAACATTCATGTACTTCAATTACACAACATAAGAATATTCATTTCACTAAAGCACAAATCACTTTTAAATATGAAAACATCAACAAAAAATTACCTTTTCCAGAATGATAAGTATTTTAGCATTTACAGATCCTTAGGTGAAGTAAGTGAAATTTTAATGTTAGGGAGTAAGGCAACAGAAAGAATTGTATTTGATGATTTGAGGTAGAGAAATATTTTCTTGTGTTTCATTAGATGACATTTTTTCTTCATTTAGTCATCGAACATTTTTGTATTGAGACTTACTATATTCTAGTCATTGCTCTAGGTGAAAAAAAAAAAAAAAAACAACTCTCCCATGGGACAGAACTTTTTGTATAGTGTGGGAAAACCATCAAATAGTAAAACAATTATGTTACATGTTAGATATATACTGTGGAGCAGTGCTTCTCAACCTTCCTAATGCCACCATGTATTTTCATTGTTACAAAGGGGTCATGACCCACAGGTTGAGAACTCCTGCTGTAGAGAAAAATAAGAAAAGGGAAGGGGGCCAAAATGCCAATGGTGTGAAGTCAATGACTGGACAGGGAAGGTTTCTCTGATAAGGTCACACTTGTTAAAAGGGATGAAGGAAAAGTAAGGAATGTCATCATATTCCAGAAGGAAGAAACATTTACCTGAAGTGCATCTGAAGCAAGGAGGCTGAGAGAGGTCACACATGGCAGGAGACTAGAGTGTGTGATATAGAATCAGTGAGGGGAATATCAGTCATAGCACTATGGCAGCAGGTAATTGAGATCAACCATGTAGGCTGTGTTAGTACTACAAGCTGTTGTTTAGGGTAGGGGGCCACTGGAAAGTTGGGAACAGACAGGGGATGAAAATGTCCTTCCCTTTTTATGGGACTAGGATAGCTGTTTTGTTGGAAATAAACCGTTAAAAGAATCAAGGCCAGAAGACCAGGAAAGAGGCCTAATAAGATGGCCAGATTAAAACAGAGTAGAAATGGCAAAATTAATGAGAAATGACTGAGTTTGTGCAAGTTTCAAGACAAAGCAAAAAAATGTTGTTCTTTGATTGAATGCATCTTATGAAAGAGTAAAGAACCGCTCAAGTTTTTGGTTTGAATAGCTGGTTAAAAAAAATAAAAAGGAGCTTAGATGGGAAGTTATGTTTTGGAAATTAAAATTGAGATGCCCAATAGAAACCAAATGCAACTGTACAGTTATAAGAAGTATTTAAACTAAGGAAATGGAGAATTATATATTGCAGATCGTATGTAAAATTTAATGTTAGCCTGTACACAGTGTTTGAAATCATGTGATGGGAAGACATCGTCAAGGGAATGAGCTTTAATATATGAGAGGAGTTTAAAAACTTTTCTCTGAGATCATTACAACGTTTAGTCAGAAAAATTTGGAGCAGCAAGCAATGAAACTGAGAAAGAACAGCTAACGTATTAGGTTGAAAACAGATATCAGATTGGGTATTGGAAGGCGAGTGAGGAGGACAGTTTAAAATAGTGAAACGAACTGTGTGAATTATGCTTACAAGTCAGTGAGGTGAGAACTGGAAACTGGCATCTGAATGCAGCAGTGTGGAAGCTTCTGGTAACTCTGACAAGTAAATATTGGGAGAGTGCTGAGGGGTCAAAGGTCTGAGTAGAGTGAGTCCATGCAAAAATTAAGAGACATCGGAGATATGAGCATGGTGAACTCTTTGTATAGCAGAAAAAAATGGGCTATTAGTTGGAGAAATTAATAGGGCGACATTTACTTTTCTTTCAACATGGAAGAAATAATGTAAGTTTACGTCGTTAAGGATAACCTACAATGAACACAACGCAGGTCATGTAACAGACAGGAGGGAATTAAGGAGAGATGGCTTTGCAGGCCAAGAAGGATGGAACTGAGGACACAGTGAAACAGTTCACCTTGTGTAGAAGACAGATACTACACAATTATTTTGATACAGGAGCTGAAGAGGTGGCGTTTGGGTAGATTTGATGTTTGCTTCTGATTTTCGTTGTTTGTTTTCCTGTTTCAATATGAATATCATTAGGTGATAATGAGAATAGGAGAAGAATTTTGGTGTTTGGAGAGGAATGAAAATGTCATGTAGGGAAATGAGATGGTGAACGAATGAGGAAAACGTAGAGTGATGGCGTCGTTAGGAGTCGGTGGACTCTTGTGATATGTAACATGAGAGCAGTCACAGGGTTGTTTGTATTTTTCAAGCAACATTCTGCTACACAACTGCCGTCATTGATTGGGAAGACAGAGGGTACGTTTTTTCCAGGGCTGTGGTTTTACAGCTGCAAACGAGAATGCAAGTGAGAGGGAGTGTGGATGGAGGTCGCTTGAGAAAGAATAATTTAAATGTCTGAGAAAAGAAATAAGCTCCTTACGGAAAAAAGTGAAGACACCCAGGGGAGAGGACAGAGTAAGGGTCAGATGGCATGGTGCCCCAGGTTCTGTTCAGGCTGTGTATAGACCCTGAATTTGTTTACTCTGATAAGAAATCAAACATACAACTGTATTTTCTCAAGGCCTAATGCTTTATTATTAAATAGTAATAGATTAGAAACTATTAACATTTCCAAATCAGTGATCATTTTAGAAAAAAAGGTTTTTTTTTACAATGTTGACTTGCTGATTCATCAAAGTTATCACTCCATTCACCTAATTTAACATTTGTACTTAATGCAGACATCAAATCACACAAGCTCTAAGGGCACTAACATCTAATGTTATTGGAAATCTTCAGATCTAAAATCCTCAGAAATGATATTCCAGGTGGCAAATTCTCTGCTTCTAAAATATATAAATGTAGGTGGAGGGAAGCCAGATTTGAGTATTTAAAAAGAAATACTCAAAGATATATGTTAGTTGGATGATCCAATTTTAAAATGTTTACCTGTTTTAATTTTAACCTATAGGTTTTTAGCCTATTTTCCAACATTAAATAGCCAGAATATTTTCATGGTAGTTACCAAAATAGCAATGCTGAGGGGATTATCAATGAGAAAGATATATCAGTCGACCTGTAACGTGATAAACAGGCTGTGGTCCAGAGCACAGTGATGTTATGAGGGAGTCATGGACAGATGCTGCTGTGTTCCTGGCACTCCTGGTGATCATTTCAGGCAAATGTGCCTTGTTCAGGCATTTGAACAAGTACCATCGCATTCGTATAGTTAAGGATTGCTGTAAGCCGAGACCATCACATACCCAAAATCTGAGTAGGTTAAGTAAAATAGGATTTATTTTTCTTACAAAAATGATCGCAAGACTAATATACTGGCATTTCAGTGTCATCAATGCCCCAGGGTCCTCCATATTTTCCACTTGGTTTCATCTGCAAAGTTGTATCTTAGTTTCTGTCATAAAATGTGTACTTCAGGCAGTGCAAAGAAAGTTAAAAAAAAAAAAAAGAAAAAACCCTCAATTTAATCAACTTACACCCCTTTCTTTTAAGGAGCTTTTTGGAGAGTTATAAAACTTCTGGGAAAAGAGACTGGGGGAAAATAAGGGAATATTATTTCTCCCAATGATGCAATAATTTAATAAATAAGAAAGGTACAGAGGATAGATTTTGATAAGACAACTAGCCTTCAATGCCATAGCTTATTGGTCTTTTCTGTGGGTCCCATCTTTCACCCTATATAAACCCCTCAGCTCTGACCCTCAGCCCTAGTCCTGACTTCAAATCTTGGGGAGGATGCAATTGACAAGCATAATGACAAGTCATAAAAGATACAGCTTCACAATCAGTGAATGACAAGAACTCTGAGTACAGGGCCTTCTGGGGGTTGAGACAGAGATATTTTTACACACAAAAGGCAACAGTCTAAAGGATAGGATGCGATCAAAATTTGTGATTAATATAATTTTTTTTCAGGTAACACAATATAATTCTATTTTCCTGGCAATAAAATCTGTGACACTTAATCCTTCTGCTCAAAGTTTCTTTCTGTAGAGTCAAAATATAAATATTCTACATAACATTTTACTGCACGGGATTTCAGATAACATCATAGATATTTTGTGCTGTGACTGCTGTTCCATTTTAGTGTTTATATGATGAAACAGAATCCTACCTTATTATTATTATTTTTAAAGACATAAGTAGTCCAATGCTTATAAGTCCTGGCAATGAACTTGAATTGTGCTTTTAGGTTTCTCTATCCAAAGAACCCGAATGTTACTTTCCAAGACAAGACAACCCTTACTTAGTCAAGTCAATGCACTATTCATCAACGGGTATTACAGCTGACCTTGAATTGAATGCTGCAAATGCTAGAATAAAGCTGCCTTCGGAACCCATCTCCACTCTGCGTGTGGAGGTGAAATACCACAAAGATGAGATGCTGCAGTTCAAGGTATGTGCAATAAAAACTGTCCCCATGCTTAACTCATCTCTCAACATTAATGACTTTTAATAGGTTTTGCTCTTGTATTTTTAACGTAATACTAAGGGTTCTTCATTGGGTTGACAACATTTTGATTCTATAAAAACAAAACATTTTTACACTTTTTCTTGCATGGGGCACACCTAGGCAGCCAATAAATGAAGCTTTTCATTTTTGTTAACTTTGTGAGTAAACATAAAGAGGTGATTGAAGCAGAAATTTAAATTCTTTATCTTTTTTTCTTCTTTTGAGACAGAACTTCACTCTGTGGTCTTGGCTAGAGTGCTGTGGCGTCATCACAGCTCACAGACACCTCAGACATTTGAACTGAGCAGTCTTCCTGCCTCAGCTTCCCAAGTAGCTGGTACTACAGGCACCCACCACAATGCCCAGCTAGTGTTTTCTGTTTTTAGTAGAGATGGGGTCTCCCTCTTGCTTAGACTGGTCTTGATCTGCTAAGCTCAAGCAGTCTACTCTCCTCAGCCTCCCAGAGTGCTAGGACTACATGCGTGAGCAATGGCACTCAGTCAAAATTTACATTCATGATAAATAGATAAGTAACTTAAAATTAAATGCTATTGATAGTTCCATTAAAACAAACAAACAAGATGCTTAGTATTTATACTATTTTAATCATGGTCTGAATTATCTGGCCAATACAATAAGATATGCAAAATAAATAATTTCTTTCAACTTTTACAGTTAGCAGATTTTGTTTTACTCCAAGGAAATCCATTAAGAAAACTATTAGAGATAAGAAAATAAGCCAAATAACTGGATGAAAAATATCTCCAAAAATATTTTCTTGTGTATAATCATTAACCATTCAGAAGTTGAAATGATATCCCATTAATAAAATGAAATGAAGGAACTCAAATATGAAGGACAGAATAAAAACCTGTTTCTTAAAAAAGAAACCCAATAAACAAAAAAATATAAAATCTATAGGACAAAGTGGACTTCTTATAGGATAAAAGTTTCAAAAGTATGGGTAGATGTAATAAGTACTAAAAAATTCTCCATAAAACTAAATATTATTTTAAATGTTAATTCATTTCAGATTAATTGATGTTTTAAATGTATTTCTACAGATATCTGAGTGGAATATTTTTAGAGATTTTATAAATAACACTTAAGCTCATCTGGAAATAGAAACATATGTCATTGGTACAACTAAAAAAGAGTGGCAGAGGTGGTAAAAATTTAGAAAATTAGAACATGGTCAACGTGGAAAGAGAATTGGTGTATGACTGTATCAAAATATGACATGTACCCTACACTAATATAGAATTATTATGTCTGCATAATAAATAATATAAAACATCTCATAAGCAGAGATTCAACAGAAGCAGGAAAAATGAGAAATAGAATGTTAACATCTTTACAGTTCCAGAAACAAGAAGTGAATTCACTGAAAAGGAAACGTCAGTGTTGATTTATCATTGGCAGGGAAACACCTAACAATTACAAAATAACTTTTAATTGAACATAAATTAGCAGTAGAGTACACAATTTGTGTGAATATGTGTTAGGACAAATAGTTATAGAAAGCCATTTACTGACGGGTATGCAGGACCCTAAAAATGTTAGTACACTCTGACCTAAGTGCTATTTCTAAGAGATGTAACGAAGAAGTAAAGACAGAAATTACCATAGATCAGCATTAACGTGTATTGTATCATAGGTGTGGCAAAAAAACATCAAAACAACTTCTATGTCTAACCAGGAAATTATAAATAATTTTGATATACTGATATCATAGAATATTTGGCTCTAAAAGATTTATCTTTGATTTCTTATTGTATAGAACATGGATCAAAAAGCATTTTAAAAATGGTATAAAAAAGCAATAATCCACTAGTCCCATTATATATTCATATGTGGAGTTTTGTATAGATCTGTGGGCCATGGATGTAGAATCAGGAATTATATGAACATCAATTCTTAATAACCTTGTTTGAACCATTATTTGAATTATTTAATGATATTTACATGCCATGTCAGCAATAAGAGTACCCTATCCCTATTTTTATTTTATCTCTGGAATAGATTTATGATCCCCTAAACAAGAGGTATGAAGTTCCAGTACCATTGAACATTCCAACCACTCCAACAAGTAGTCATGAAAATCGACTTTATGATGTTGAAATCAAGGAAAATCCTTTTGGTATCCAGATTCGACGGAGAAGCAGTGGAAGAGTTATGTAAGTGATAGAAATATTTGCTAGAAAAATATTTTAATTTTAGCTAAGGAAGGGAAAGGTAAGTTCATATTTTCACAGACTTCACTTTGCTACAACATCACGCTAAAAATTTAGTTGTGTTAAATAAATAGCTTTGCCTACACTAATATTTCCAACCTAAGCAATCAGCATGCTCATGGGACTATCACAAAACATTGGGTCACATTTTTGTTTACATTTTGGATGTGATCACCTTCATAATTAAATATCAGACTTACTTTACTGATGAAGTTGAAAAATGCACGAAGACTCCTCTTGAAATGTACAAAAAATGTTAACAAAAATAAATAAGCTAAATGAGTGGAATGATTTACTGGTATTATTGAAGTCATTTATTAGAGCCAGACTGATAGAGCTAATAATTTCTGTGTTAGATATTAATGAAAAGAAATCGAGTCGCACAAATCTATATACGGTTTATGTTACAATGAAACAATTTAATTAAAAAATGTAATGTCTTTATTTTAATCAAAGCTCTACAAACTATAATGTATTAAAGTACGTACTTATGAAACTTAAGCTTGCCATCTCATTCTGTAGTTTCGGCTCTGTCATCAGGATATTTTCAGGTATTATCAGGATGGAGATGACTAATTAACAAAACTATGTTGCAATTGTTTTCATGATTCTGTGATAGGAATGTTTTTGTTCAAAAGGATGAGAAGCTAAGTCATTTTGTAAGAAATTCTGTCATAAGGGCATAATTTATTATTTGGGAAGCATTATTCTTTATTAAAACAAGTTTTCACAAGTATGTAACAAATATTTTGAATGTGCCCAAGATTGTTTAACGCATATGTTTCTTCTCCCAGCCAACCTTGCATTCTCTTCTTTTCCTTTATGTTATTTTGCAAATGATTTGAATGACAGTACATTTTCTTGTAACATATACAAACACTGAGTTTGACACGTGCAAAATAAAGAAAGAAAAAAATGGGGAGCAGTAACTGGGGAAGAGTTTGAAATTTAAAAATCCATTATGGTTCCAGTTCTCTGTAAGATTGATTTCTTTTTATTTCATATGTGGAAAAAAGGTACAAGGATTATCTCTAGTGAGCAGAAAAAGGGAGGACTTACCATTTCTAGGTCATATATTACTGAGTCTTTTATAACTTCATATTTTATTTTTGAAAGCAAGATTTGTCTCAAGATAAACATGTGCAATATTATTCATATTGTGATTCGCTTGTGAGTATTTGAAACACATTTTAAACCTTCCTCACGTTTACCAAAGTCTTCATTATTCATTTTCATTTGGTACTTGGGTATAATTCGGTTTGTAGGGAAATTTCAGATCACCTAAGAGACAAGTACCATTATTATTTGTTACACTACTTTGTGTATTTTTATAGGCATAAAACCTCTTTTTGTTTGTTTTCAGCTGGGATTCTCGCCTGCCTGGATTTGCTTTTAATGACCAATTTATTCAAATTTCCACTCGCCTGCCCTCAGAATATATCTATGGTTTTGGGGAAGTGGAACACACAGCGTTTAAGCGAGATCTGAACTGGAATACGTGGGGAATGTTCACGAGGGACCAACCCCCTGGTGTAGGTACCAACAGTTGACTTCTCCAGGAGGCAACTCCGAGCATGGTTAGGGTCTGGGCCACTGCTGTGTGGGCCTGGACTTCAGTACTGATGTAATGTCAGAGGGGATTGGGATCATCAGAGTACCAATAGTGATTTCTTAAAACAAGCAAAAAAGTCACCGTAAGTTGCAGGTGAAAGCAGAGGGGTGGACGAATAGATAACAACATGCATGAACAGAGTGAGGAGCCGGGTTGTGACCCAATTCCCAAACCTTCCCAGCTGCAGAGCAGAGCACAGGGACTCAGTATTCCCTGTCAACTTGACACTTACCCCCAGCTTTTAGTCTCCTTGATTTTTTTTCTTCTTAGACTTTAATTTATTCCTTACTTTCCCCCTTTATAACCCACAACTGCACTTGTGTGTTTTTATGAGGCCAAACTGCTAATATCTTCAGAAAATGTTGTTATATATACTCAAGACACTTTTTTCAAAGTTTTGTCTTGTTAATGTGCCAGATTTTATGAATATTTAATATACTACACAAAAATAATAATATAATTATTCCAAACATACAATGAAAAAAACCTTTTTAATAAAAATTATCTCGTTTCCATTTTTCACATTATGTTTCCTTAAGGGATATATTCAGTAAAGTGCTATAAATATATGTACTACAGCAACCATTTTTTTATTTTTAGATGTTGAAACAACTTTTATTTGTGTCATAATAGTCCAGAGTTAAATTACTGAAGGCTGTTTTTCATTTACACCAACTTGAAAACCTGAAAGAACATGTCTTACCTAAAATTCTTACTTTTTTAAAAAAAAATTTCTTAAAAATCTTTCATCATGACATAGATATTATCGGATAAACATAATTATGATTCTCAATATATAAACTTACTTTCCCATGTTAACAATTACTGGGATTCAAATATAGGGAAATGAATTAAATATTCTATAAATATAAAATTTTGTTTTATAGAGATAAAATAAATTTAAAATGTTATTTTTTAATAATATTTTTGATTACTTCCATCACTTTAATTGCTTTTAGGACAGTTTATCATGGAAAGAGAAGCATCAGTTTATAAATAAATTAAGACATACAATCTTTGGAAAGAAGCCAATTGCTTTAACGCCTATAGCCAGCCACCTTCACGTGTCAGTATTTGTAGGTGTGACATATTTGTATATTACCTGGAGTGCTCTAAAGCCATAAAGGTCAAACAGTTAATGATTTTCTGAAACAAGTGCATTCATTGTAATTCAAGCATTGTGTGAAAAAAAGGAACATTTGAATCCCAAGGGTGAATCTTAAAATGAATTTTAAAACAGCATTGACAAAATTCACATTATTTTTATTTAAATAGAAATTGTGCTTTATTTTTATTTCAGTATAAACTTAATTCCTACGGGTTTCATCCCTATTACATGGCTCTGGAAGAAGAGGGAAACGCCCACGGAGTTCTCTTACTCAACAGCAATGCCATGGGTAAAATAGTTGTTGAATCTCTCATACCTGTGACTTTATACTAATATGCTGTATATAAATAAAAATGGAATATGTAATGGAATTACATTTTGTATTTCCAGATGTTACCTTCCAGCCAACTCCTGCTCTAACTTACCGCACAATTGGAGGAATCTTGGATTTTTATATGTTTTTGGGCCCAACTCCAGAGGTTGCAACACAGCAATATCATGAAGTATGATTGCAAATTTCTTTTTCTTAAATATGACTATTTTAAAAATGTAAAAACATACAGTAATCCCCTTATTTCACACATAAATTTTTTTAAAGGTCATTGGCCGCCCAGTCATGCCACCATATTGGGCCTTAGGATTCCAACTTTGTCGCTATGGATACAGAAACACTTCGCAGATTGTGGAAGTCTACGAAGGCATGGTGGCTGCTCAGATCCCCTATGTACGTGTGGTGATTTTCAAGACAATATTAAATATAGAATGTGTGAAATAGAATGGGATCATTAAACACTTACTTTTAAGTTAATTTAAGCACTTAATAATAATGCTTAGTTTTTAGCAGTCATTTACTAATGGAATATGAGATTTGGACACAATGTTAGAATTTGTCAGGTTAAGAAAGGAGAAAGGGTGACACCATTTCTTTTCTTTCTTTCTCCCCGTTCTATGACCCTGAGTTGGGCTAAAGGAGTAACCGTGCCCTAGGTACCTAGCGTACCTCTCATAAACTCGGGGCCACATATGCTATGTGGTTTTCCTTGTGTGAGCACAAAATTGAGAGGGTTCTGTATTATCAACAAATTTTAAAAAATTGCAGAGAACAAGTCAGAGGTGAAACTAGGTGATTCCGCCCCTGCCCTGCCCACCCTCAAGTCTATAATAGCAGGAATGTATTGGGCAGGTTGAGAGCATGTGCAAAGATTTTTTTCTCCTTAATGTTCAGGAAACTTACTATTCCAGGTATCCACACACAATCAGTCTCAGCAATTTTATTTCTGTCAAGATTAAGGAATACATGGATACTGCTAGTAACACTTAAACATTAAAATATAGAAGGCTTGGCATGTGGGTATGATTTCACTAAGAATCAAAAAGACCTCATTATAAGATATTGGTTCTTATAGTTGAATACAGTGTGTAGCCACTACGTATACTGTTAGAGCAAAATCAGTTATGTAGGTTGCTGATATAAAATTGTAATTTTATTATCCAAAAGGAGGTTTTACATTATTAATCCTCCTATATCTAATATACTTTTAATAACACTTAGAAGAATAAATTGAGCTAATGTCAATTAAAGGAAAATAATTAACAATTTTTTTACTTAGACTTAATTGAAGAGTCCATGATGAAATTCAAACATTTGTTAGTTTAAATGTATTTGCAGGTACCTACCTGCAAAGACTATTTCACTTTTAAGCAGTACTATTATCCTAAAAATGACTTTGATAGACAATAAAAGAAAATCATGTAAAACTGATAAACTTTTTAATATCCCTTTCCACCCTTTTGCCAAGGTTAAAATTATTTGAAATAATTTCATATTTGCTCTGTGGTTCCCAGACATAGAACAACACCCATTTCTGTATACACAGTACAAAATTTTAATTTGTCATTTAATGTAATTTCATTGCATCACAAAGTCTTACACCCTTGTGTCATTCTGTTTCCTCTGTGAATTACATAACATATAATATAAAAGAACTTTTACTTCTAAATCAAAATTACTAAGCAAACTTCAAATAAAATTAAACATCAATAGGAAGTTGTTCATAGACCACTTTGCACCATTATGTGCAAGTTACTTTAATTCCTTGAACCCTGGATTAGTTTATTAATTCCTTCTAGGATTTAGTTAAGAGGGATTGAAACTTTCTCAGCACTGTGACTTTTCTTATGTGAATGTGATGGAATGTGACACGCTTGCCCTCTTGTCTTTCTTACCCCACTGCCGTGACCCTCACATACCTCAGGACGTCCAGTACACAGACATTGACTACATGGAAAGGCAGCTGGACTTTACAATTGATGATGAATTCTCTGAACTTCCTCAGTTTGTTGACAGAATAAGAGGCGAAGGCATGAAATACATTATTATCCTGGTCAGTATTTATGGTTTATCTGAGTCTTGTTATCTTAGTTTTATGAGTTATCCTACACTGTGGTGGAGGGGATTGCAAAATAGGGAACAGATAACTTTGGATTCCACTCTTAAGTCTAAAATGTTCTTCTTTAGTCCTTCATTCTCTCCACATGGACTGAGGCCAGCTACGTTAGTATTTGGGTGTATCCTGAGAGCTCTAGGTGGAGACCTGGGACAAAGCCACCTGTTCTCTAGCTGTCATCCCAGCTGCAGGCTGACCTGTATTTATAGAGGTTATGGGAAAGAAGATTTTCTATCTGTTTCTATTCCATTCTGAAGCCGTCCACTGGGACAGCTTCTGATGCTTTTCATATTTAAAACATTTCCTTCTGGTGTGTGGGGAGAACTTTTTACTACACTTGATCTTGGCCAAAAGGCTGAGAAGCAACGTGGGGAGAATATTTTTTAATAACAATCTTAATGGAAGCAAGAAGGTAGCAAGAAATCCCACCATAGAAATAAAAAAAAAAAACAAAACAACTTTGGAATCTTATTTGAAATCATAGCCTATACATTTTCACATGACCTTAAAATTTACTTCTGAGAGAGTTAGAAGATAGTGTTGCTAGAATACTGATGTTTATACATTTGTCAGTTGGTGTGAGAGCACGACATTATGATAATGTAATAATGATAAATTATAATGCTTCGTGATGACTTTCCAAGCATCTATACTTTCATTTCATATGTACAGTGTTTGTATTTTATTTTAATTTTAGGATCCAGCAATTTCAGGAAATGAAACAAAACCTTACCCTGCCTTTACCAGAGGAATAGAGAAAGACGTCTTCGTCAAATGGCCTAACACCAGTGATATTTGTTGGGCAAAGGTACTAAATTTATGTCTTTAAATGGAATACATATAAAATGCTATTATATTGAAAATATCCAGTTAGTTTTGTAAAATGTTGAAGACAAATTCAAAAGTAGAGATAGCACAGAAACTGACTGACTTAACAACTAGTAAAACACTATATATTCTGTGACTTAAATCCAAAATATCAGACAAAAGGAAAGAGGTCATACAATTCTTACTTCCAAATACTATTCATTTCATCTTTAAGTTGTAGTTTATTATACTTCTTAGTATCTTCTGTGTTTTATTAGGAAACACCCATTGGTAGGTGGCTGTTTTTAACTGCAGGAGTCATTTAAAAGTGTGTACTTCTCTGCAGAAAGCTCCCAATAAAAGCAACAATGTTTGTTAAGAGCTGCACTTACCACTCTAAGATGGAACAAGAAATATCATTCATTGCATTTTATGTAATCAATGATATTCCCATCTGAGTACATGAATATATAAATATTTTGATTTGGTTTTCAAACAAAACAATCAAGAAAATATCCAGTATCACACTAAAATGAACAAAAGCAGCAAAAAAGTGCCCCAAATCCCTTGATGCAGTGCTTCTCAACCTTCCTAATGCTGTGAGCCTTTAATATAAGTCCTATGGGTTGCAACCCACAGGTTGAGAACTGCTGCCTTGATGGGAGATATAATTAAATGCAATGTGAGATTCTTACTGGATTTTGAACCAAATTAAGACATTTGTGATAAAAGTGGTAAAATTCAAACACATTATATTAGTTATGTGCATTGTATTAACATTCATTTCTCAGTTTTGATAACTACACTATTAGACAGTTATGTAATTTGCACATGAACTTGATGGACACTCGGTATCAACATTGACGTTAGAAGAAGCTGAGTGAAGGCTATAGACAAACTCTAAGTACAACAACTGCAGATTTCATGTTATTCTAAAGATGGTTGGAAATAAAATGGTAAAAATAAAATAAAACAACCAAAAAACTCAGGTGATACATTGGTGTAACAAGGTAATATTTTAAGAAACAATCAAAGTGTGGTGTAGAAGGGATTTTTTCCTTCCTACTTTCTCCTTATTCCATATTTCTATACATTTTCTCAGAATTCTACTCTTTCTTTACTTCCACTAGAGCACTATTCTCTCTTAGAAACTAATCTCATGTAAATAATTAGTCCTAGGAAATTATTTATATTTTTACGTGGGTATTGCTAAGTTGTCTATCACAGATTCACGTTCTGAGAGTACTCAGCATGACTGCATTTGGGCTCTATTTTGTGTGTTTTTGTTGGAGTTGTGGAAAACATTGGGGTCAGTGTGTGGGGGTGGGGAGCTGAAGGGAGATAAGAATTAATTACCATCTGTGAAAATCAGTGGGATTTTTGAATCAGCATGACATGATCAGATCAGATGTTCAACTCCTTCAAAATAAAAATATTATAAAATAATAAAGTAACATAAAATTAAAATATTGATTATATTTCATTTTCAACTCTGGAATAGTTTTAAAAATAGTCCTAATACACTATACTAAATTAAATTTGGTATATGCTTTTCAAATTATTGTTTTACCAGACTTTTCAGTTATATGAATTGTTTTCAAAATCACTGATTACTGCAAAGGTTGTCAAGTCTTTTTATTTGTCATATTGAAGACTAGATTAATAAGTCACATGGAAATAATTTGCAAATGATATATGTGCAAAAAAAAAAAAAGGTAATTGGAAGGATTACAGATCTGAGGATCTTGAGTCTTTACTAAATGTCTCATGTTCCATGACACCTTATTTACAATATATTCATGTCATATTGAATTTATTTTGAAGTGTTTATTCAATTCTTCTGTTGTGTAGGTGTGGCCAGATTTGCCCAATGTAACAATAGATGAAACTATCACTGAAGATGAAGCTGTTAATGTGAGTTGCAACTTGTATTTCGGGCTTTCTGTGACAGGCTTATTTCACTCAACATAATATTCTCAAGGTTCATCCATCAAAGAAAAAGAAATGACAAAATTATCCCATGCAAATGATAAAAGTAAGCAGGAGTGGCTGCATGGAGAATGAATTTTAAGTCAAAAATTGTCATAGAAGACAAAAGGTCATTACATAGTGATAAAAGGGTTAATTCATCAGGACAGTATAATAATGATAAACATATGTACATGCACCCAACATCAGCATCTACATATATAGAAAACAAACATTAACAGAAGTGTGTGGGAAAGAAGACTTTAAAAATTTAAGGATATTGAAATCATACCAATTATTTTTCTGATCACAGTGAAATTAAACTAGTAATCAAGAATGGAAGAAAAACAAGAAAATTCACAAATAGGTAGAAATTAGACAGCAGACCATTGAACAGCCAATGAAGCAAAGTAGAAATCAAAACAGAATCAGACAATTTTCTCAAAATTTCTTAGAAAAGCTAAAATGAAACTACAGCAAAACTTAGGATGAAACCGAAGCAGCATTAAGAGGAATGTTTGTAATGATAGACACCTCCATAAAAAAGAAAAAGATCAGCTCTGTGCCCATAGTACAGTGGTTATGGCGCCAGCCACAAGTACCCGGGCTGGTGTGTGCGAATCTGGCCTGAGCCTGCTAAACAACAATGACAACTGCAACAAAAAATAGCTGGATGTTGTTGCGGGGATCTGTAGTCCCAGCTATCAGGAGGCTGAGGCAAGAGGATCACTTAAACCCAAGAATTTGAGGTTGCTGTGAGCTATGACACCATGGCACTCTACTGAGGGCAACATAGTGAGACTCAGTCTCAAAAAAAAAAGAAAGAAAGAAAAAGAAAAGATCTCCAAAAAACAACCTCTACAAACTAGGGGAAAAAGAACAGACTTAGCGGAATGGAGAAAATAAAGATTAAAGCAGATAAAAACAAAATAAGGAATACAAAATCAATAGAAAAAATAAAACAGCTGGCAATTCCTCTTTTATGTAGAACAAATTATAATCAATAAATGTACAAGTGTATGCAAGTGTAAAGAATAAGGAGCTTAAAACTCCCAAAATCTTCTAATGGAGAGTCAAAGAACTGTGCAGAATTTTGTTGTTGAGGAAAGTGGAGGACAGCTCCAATTTATGTAGAAAGGCTTGTGAGAATTCCTTGGAACTGTATTCCACAATGGATAATCAGATTGTTCCACCGCAGGTAGCTGATTAATTTTCTGGATATTAGCAATGATTTGTACTTAAGAGATAAAAATACTCACCTAAAAGAATAAAATAAACCAACAAGTGAATGAAGGAAAGGTCCTCAAAGTGGAGGTTAAACAGTCTCAGGAGCTCCCTTCTTTCTTAATCATCCCTGTGACTTGGAAGGTCCTAGCATTGAAGGTGGTCATTCCGCATAATCCCTAAGCTTTCTGTCCTTACGAGTAAAGTATAATTTAGGGGAAGATGATAAAATCAAGTCCCTTTCAACTTTAAAAAAATCCATGATCCACGTTTACGTCTGCTCCCTACCCTGCACGCCCTGTGCATCTCGCCCTCCCATACACTGGTCATGGGCAGGACTGTTCCAGCGGTTACTACATAGAATTAAAAGACGCCAACAGTGCATTCAGGGTGTGCCGTGGTTTTGAAAAATTTCCAATTGATTTAGCTGCAGAAAATCAATCTTTTGTTTACTCTGACCTTGGAACTTATACATGTAGACTGGAAAGTGGACAATTTTCTTCGTAGGGAGTGAACTGAAACACTTCTTTGTAGCTGGGATGGGAAGGGTTAGATGTGAGAGAGAAAAAAGCAGTTGGTGAGGTGGTATGAAGATGTATTGGTTCTGGGAGTTCAGCAACCTGGAAAAACAAGTTTTAATCAGAAAAACAGGTTTTACCGTGGGCTTTTTCCACTTCCACTGTGGTCTACAAAGATAAACCTCAAGTAGAGGGCTCTACAGGGGCAGAAAAAAAATTGCCTTTCGCTCTAGGAAGCACTAAAAACATCTTTTTGTGTGTTCTGAGCTATTTTTTTTATAATCCACATAGCGCTCCAAGGCTGCCCTCTTATCTCCACCGATATGTTTCTCTCTCTCTGCTCATCTTCCCATCAGCTGCTGAGGTGTTCAAAAGAGAATCACATTTGTTTATGCAATTAAGCTTCTTGGGCTCCCTTCATTACTGGCATGTGCACCTTGGGAATCTGAAAGATGGGCTTAGATACATAAGGCATCTTTGGACTTTTCACACCCACACGTGGGTCTGAATTGTTTTGCAGGCTTCCAGAGCTCACGTGGCTTTCCCAGACTTCTTCAGGAACGCCACAGCAGGGTGGTGGGAAAGGGAGATCATAGATTTCTACACTGACCAGATGAAGTTTGACGGCTTATGGATTGTAAGTACGCCTTTGAACAATTTCTAAGATATTTGTTAGGTAGTGATTATGCAAAATTCTTAACAGGCTCTAATAATGTCAAAAAATATTCTTTGTAAAAATCAGCACACTCATTTTTCCCCATAGAACTTTCCTATAAAGAATAGACTAAAATAAAGTTTTAACTGTTCAATTTTTCCTTATTGATGCTATTGTTTAGACATTTTCAATTTGACCAGGGAACCCATTTATTCTCTTATTATAGCTACTGACATGTGGAAACACTCATTTTATTATCATTCTATGTAAGAGTAAATCTCACATATCTATCAATCTTTTGTGGAATAAATAAGCTTTTATAAATGTAGTGATATTGTTTTCAATTTCTTTTGGGGGGCAATTTTAAAATATTAGTAATAAAATTTTTAGTAATCTACTTTTGAGATGTAATAAAAATTTATTTTACCATCAGTAAATATTTAACACAGAAGAATTTATATATTACTTTTTTAAATTTATGGAGGTGAAATTTTTTTTCTGTTGGTTTTTCTACTAGAAGACATTAATTTTTTTGTATTAAACCTAACATTATAGAAGTACTATTATGTAGAAGGCTTGAAAATATAAAACTTCTTAAGGAATAGATTTTTTTTTTTTTAGTTAACAGGGTGTGTATTTATTTGGATGTATAAAGTTACATAACTTTAAGGGATTCTCCTAAGTATATCCTGAGAATGATACCTTGATTCAGAGAAAATAATCTATTTTCAGCTAGAGGAAGTCACTTTTAAATGGCACGTAATTTGTGCTTTTAAGGCATGGTCCCCTTCTGCGTGACTACTGAAATTCTAAGATGTGTGCTCAGATACTACTTGAAATTTCCTGTGTTTGTAAAAATAAAAGCAGTTAACACCAGGCTCAGAGCAAGAATGGATTGGAAGGTGGTGATGAGACACACACTAATTTAATTCTTATGTCTTGTAAAATATAAAAATCTATTCACTATGTATGTATAATACACAAAACAGAAAAAAACAGGACATTTAATGTTTCTAAAAAGAAGGCGTAGGTCAAAAACAGTTAAGAAACACTGAGTTAAACTAAATATTGAGGTGTTTTAGATTTTTGTTTTTTATAATAGTAAGTAAAGTATTATTCAAATATGCTATGCTAATTCACTCCGTTTTGAAATTAGTTCTTTTCAGAATGTATGTTCTCAATTTATTTTTTGTTTACATTTCTCCCTCATCTGTTTTAAGGATATGAATGAACCATCAAGTTTTGTAAATGGAACAACCAGTAATCAATGCAGGAATGAAAGGCTGAATTACCCACCTTATTCCCCAGGTACAATATTGTTGCTGTGCCATTGAAATTATTATGTCATTATTTATTCATCATTTTATATATACCTGAGGATGTAGGGAGTAAGATTCACAGTTCCAATTCTCATTATCCATTCATACGTTGGACCACACATGGACCCGTTACAAATATTACTTAACACTAGTTTGAGAAAAAAAAAAATTAAGTACTATGTTTTATATATATGAGCATAAATTTAAATTTGCTTGAAATTGTTATTTTGATTTTCTTAAGAATCTTTCAAAATTTGAAAATTTTAAAACTCTAAGAAAAAAATAAAATTCTTCGTAAAAAGTTTTTTTAGCTTCTCCTTTACTAGGAATAAATTTTTAAAATACTAACAACATGTCTCTGCTTCCCCTGACCTAGAAGGGGTGACTTCCATATTTATCTTCATTCTCTTAAATATGCAGAGATTTTTATAAGCATTAACACAGAGGCATCAACAAAACTCTAAAAAAACACATCTCAAACTGAGAAAAAGTGGATCAGAAATAGTATTATAGCATTTAGGTAAATGCTCTTGATCTCAAGGCTTTGTATTACCAACCAGATTTTTTAACTAAAAATTTATTAATTTAGTATTTTCCATCCAAACGGACTAAAAATAATAGAGATTTGGGACTGTATTTATTTTTTCAACATAGTTACAATTGGAATATAGGCCAACTGTTGGCCAATTTTTACCTATAATTACATAGACAGACTATACAAATAGTTTTAAAAAATTAATAGTTATTTTGAAAGCGTGATTAACCTTATTGCCAAAAGAATATGCAGATTAATGTCATTGCCAAAAGAATAAGAATTTCAGTGTGGGGCACTGTGTGCTATATTAACATTTTTTCATTCATTTCCCCAGCACTCACAAAAAGATATGAAGGACTCCATTTCAGAACCATGTGCATGGAGACGGAGCAGATTCTCAGTGATGGGTCCTCGGTTTTACACTATGATGTTCACAATCTGTATGGATGGTCACAGATAAAACCCACTTACGAGTAAGCAGCCTTCGTAACTAGCCTCTTTAACTAGCCTGCTTTATCCTCAGACCATCTCTAATGGTCCCTATGTGCAGTGTCATTCTGACCTTACTTGGTGGCCTCATTGTTCCTGGTGTTCTGTCCCAGCGTTCTCCGTAAATTAATTCTTTGTAGCATTTAGAAAAGTTGTTTCTTGCAGCTGATCTATCAATCTATCTATGTCATTATTGTTTTTAATTTTCATCCTATTCCAAAGACAATCTTCATTTGTATTTGGTTTTCTACCATGTACCTTTCACGGTGCCTGGCACATAATAGATGTCAGTGAAGAGTGTTGAGTACGTAAATGATTAAATAACATCCAGTTTGTAGTTATTAATTAGGAATTAAAGCTTGACTAAATCTGTTACTTAAATTCATTCCAGCGTTTCCGAATGATCTACAGAATCTCAAACTCTCGTACTAAACATCTGCATTTTAACAAACTCCTATGTAAGGCCCGTGATGATAGAATAAACACCATTCTCTGAATATTGAGTCTTGACCAGGACTGTCCACTTACATTTTCTGCAATAACAGAAATGTAGAATTCTGAGTGTCCACTATGGTACCCACTAGCTATGCATGTTGAATGATGTGGTTAGTGTGACTCAGAAGTGGAATTTTAAAATATATTTAATTTTAATTAAATAATATTTAATAATTGAACATAAAATAATAGGTAACAAATGGCTTCTGTATTAGACAGTGAAGCTTGAGATCGCTAGCTCTTGACTGCATATCTTAATTGCCTGGAGATTTTTAATAAGTCACTCTCTAAAGACTGACTAGAGGAAAGAAAAATTGTAACATCATTTGCATTATCTTATCTGTTGATGAGATCTTACTTGGTTTAGAGTCTGTGCTTGAAACTGAAAAATTACATTTTTTAAGACCTGGGAAAGCCTTTATCTCTTTAAACTACATTCTACACCAGGAAATACTATAGAAGGAGTTCTCTGATCAGTAATGCGTAGAATCCGTGTGGAGAAGTTAAAACTGAAAACAATTAGAGTGATCAATAGTTAGAACTGCCCTTTGTTAAAAACACATTTAATGGATTAAAAAAGTTTAATTTGTTTAATTAGTCAATTCGATGTATGAATAGTTGATTTAACTTGTATTCATGGAGGAAATATATAAAACCACTTAATATCAGCTTTTTATTATGGTAAATTTGGGAGGAAAGAAGAAAAACGTCTTTATGCCTGTAAGGATTTTTTCAGTCTGAGTTGAGAAGAAACCCTGAGCTGTACCTGGAGTAAGGGACATGGGACAGCCCTCGCTCAACCTGCAAAGCAGAAATAAAAAGAAATAGTTGAAGAGAATACTTCACGTAAACACTCAGCATATTTATTTATCTTCATTAGTGCACTACAGAAGACAACTGGCAAAAGAGGGATTGTCATTTCCCGTTCCACATACCCTACCGCGGGCCGGTGGTCAGGACACTGGCTTGGGGACAACTACGCGCGGTGGGACAATCTGGACAAGTCCATCATTGGTAAGAGGAGTTGCCATAGTTACCATTGTTCCTCTGCATCTTCTGATGGCTGCTAGACTTTACAAGTCCTCAGCATTTTGTCAGGCATCATATTTTATGACACTAATTAGCATCAGAAAAAGGTAGTTGGACAGGAAGTAGGATTGAGGTTGCTGGGTAGAAACTAATGATGGCCAACTACTTTATTTTAAGAAAATAATATTTTCCTTCGGGGTCTAAATTTTCTGGCTGGAAAGAGCATGATCTGGTAAAGATGATATCTAGAGCTAAAGCACAGAAATTCTAAATTCTAGAGAATAGGAATTACTGATAGACGCTAAAGAAGGACGTATTTCACAGCAAATTTTGAAATAATTTGGTCACAATAGTGGAATAAGTAATATAAAAGGCTATCATTGTAAAGGAAAAATAGATAATTTAATCTTTCGTGACTAGTATTAGAATTTTTTTACTCTTGATAGATTCAAGGAAAACAATAGATATTTAGAAATATTTCTTTAAAAGAAGAGCTCAGAAATGGCATGCATACTATTTAATTGAAGTGATTGCTCCTTAATGTACTTTATTAAATGAAGATAATTCAGTTGGTCTCCAGTGAGAAGACCTATTGCTAAATCATTGAAGAAAAATCCTCTTTATTTTCAAAAATAAAACTGGGAAACGGCTAGCACTTTTTCTCACAGTATGTGTTCAATAAAAGACTTGTGCTCTATAAGTATCATTTCTCAAGGGTCAAGGAAGCTTATGGTGTCTTACTCTTATCATCATTAACACTATAAAGTAAAAAAAAGGATCATTATGAGAAGTGATATATTAACATCTGAAAAAATGTTGGATTGGATTAAATTGGAGGTTGACATCAGAGTGTATCTTCATCAACAGTCATGAAAAATATTAAAATACATGAAACAGTCACTTCCTAAGATTTTTACTTTTTTTTTTAGGTATGATGGAATTTAGTCTCTTTGGAATCTCATATGTAAGTAGCTCTATTCCCTTTATTTTCCTCAATTAAAAATATTAAGAAACAAACTATTTAGAACTAATGAAATGTAACCATCTATTTTAGACTGGAGCAGACATCTGTGGATTCTTCAATGATTCAGAGTATCATCTCTGTACCCGCTGGACTCAACTTGGAGCATTTTATCCATACTCCAGAAACCACAACATTGCATTTACTAGAGTACGTAATTACAGGATTTAATTTCAGTCTTTCCTGCACCCACCTTAGAAGATATTTAACAGGATGCATCTTACTTGACTGATTTCCAGGCGAATGTTTTTAAGCTCATCATAATTGAGGAGATGTGAAGCTGTCACTCTGAGAATATTCTGAGAACATTCAGGCTATACTGCATCTTACTTTAACATGCAGGCTTTGGTTCACGGCCGTATTTACTACTGTTCTATATAATTTGGCAGTAGTTGGGGAAAAGTAAAGCCTGCCTCTGGAAGTTCTTCCAAGTTTAAACAGAACGATAAGGAAACCAGCTTCAAACTACGTAACTGGAAGTGGGATCCCACGTAGCTTAATACTTCTTGGACTGTTTTTTACTTTCAGGGTTTTCCCTATTCTTTTTTTTTGCAGTTTTTGGCCAGGGCTGGGCTTGAGCCCACCACCTCTGGCATATGGGGCTGGCGCCCTTCTCCTTTGAGACACAGGTGCTGCCCAAGGTTTTGCCTATTCTGACACAGTACACAGCAGTGATCATAATCATCATTCAAATTTTATTATTCTTGAAATCTAGAAAAGTTGGAATTTTCATAGATATGACAGCTTTAAAGGGCCTCAGTTTTGTTGATATGAGCAACAATCATCAAAAGTAAATTAAAATATAACAACTAGTCACATTCCTTGTCTATGGTTTTTTAGCTAATATGTCCAACAACATTTTTATGGGCTCTTAATTGTCCACTTTTCATTTTACTTTTTTGAGATGGAAGGTATTTGCTAATGCAAACATAAGCATATTAAAATATGAACTATTCTTTGTGAATGTTCATTTAAATTAGATCTGATCATGAAATTCATTTGATTTTTAATTCAAATATCATTTTATGTCTTCTCTCTATACAATATGATAGAAAAACCATTGTGAAGATCTTTGTGAAACAAATACATAGAAGACAATGAATTGTATCCTTTCCTGCTTTTTCCCTCCAAATATGTATTTACACAACATGATTTAAACCAGGGCAAGGAATTATAGCTACATAATTTTGCTTTGTTTCAGAGACAAGATCCTGTTTCTTGGAATGAAACTTTTGCTACAATGGCAAGGGATGTTCTAAATATTAGATACAACTTACTGCCTTATTTCTACACACAAATGCATGACATTCATGCTCATGGTGGCACTGTTATCCGACCCCTCATGCATGAGTAAGTACAAAGTTTCTCTTTTTTTTTTTTCCTACCACAAGATGTTGCTTTCATTTAATTTATTCAATAACTTCTTTAAAATTTTTTTTGCAGTTTTTTGCGGGGGCTGGGTTTCAACCCACCACCCTTGGTATATGGGGCAGGCACCCTACTCCTTTGACCCACAGGTGCCATCCTATTCAGTAACTTCTTATAGTGAAATATAGAACATTGGAAACATTGGAAAGGTTTTAATTGTTATTGTAGCATTCATTTTACGTTAATAAACATTTACATAAATAAATCTACTAATAGACTAATATATGCAATTAAAGATGAAACACCTTAGTCAGTTATTAAGAAGGGATAATATTTTTAACAATAACAAATGTATACCAGATGTTCTTTCAGATGTTTCATATACATAATTACATTGACTATTTTACAAATTTATTGGACAGAATAATATTATCCTTTATGATTTAATCACTTGAGGTTTACTAAGTTAAGTAAATCTACAACATATAGACATCTGACCCTAGAAGTCCATCTTACCTTTTCCTTAAGATGTGTTAATAAGATGTACTTGAACAATTCCATCGTTCTTTTTAGAAATTTTTCTTTGATTTATCCTAAAAGCTTTAATTAATATCTGACCACACTTTGAAAGTCTAGAGAACAAACATTTTTAGCATTTTTGCTCTTCCGTGAACTTCCCCTGAGAAGCCATTTGTCTTCTATTTTTAAGCAAATACAGATCTTATTGTTGACATTACACAAAATATACAAATAAAAACATAAAACATAATCTCAATATATTTAGTTTTTATGCATCTTATATTAATATCAGAATGGAAGATGTGTTAATTTCACTAGTAATAAACCACTAAAATAATGGCAAATACAGTATATTTACCAAACAAAAGCAATAGTATCCAAAATAAAAATATCAAAAAAATAAGTTCATCAGTATGCCCTTTTTTTTAATACTCATGTACGAAATTCAATTTTCTTAAAGAAAAAAAGCAAAAGACAAAAAAATCCTCTTCAAATTATGTTTTAGCAACTTTATTAATTTATTTACCATAATCCCTTTTTTATTTTATTGATCCCTCTCTTTTTCATTCCCAGACTTTTAACCTTTGTCTTTTTTCTATGAATTTCTCAGAAGAATTGGAGTAACACCTCTGGACTGAGTCTCCAAGCACAACATTGTTAACTTGGCAGACTCTGGTCTTGTTGAGAACCCTGGGCCTTGATTTTCAGGGGGAGTCCATGGAAGAGCAAACCCAGCTATCCAATCCAACATTAATCTCAATTTTTAATAAAGAAAAACAAAATGAAAATAAAAAATTTAAAAAATAGCTTTCTCATTTCAGTTGGAGAAGAAATGTGAGCATATAATAGTGGCTATTCTCAAATTATAAAAGCAAACTTTTCTAGCGATTATATTTCACATTCAGAGGTCTTTTTAATATGGAAAAACCTTTACAGACATGTAAATCCAGGATTTAGACAGCTCTATAGAATTGGATAGTCAAACTCTTTTTAAGTTAACAGCTTAAGACTCTCATAGCACATGTCTCACAGTTTTTTTCCAGGGAATTTGTTATATTTGTTTCCTAGTTTGCTAAATATATATTAGGAAAAGTGAATATTCCTGCCACTGTGAGTTCTCTTCCCAAAGTGATTTCTCATTCAATTGGTTTTACATGTTCAGCACAATTCTTTGCATTTTTTTTTCTGAAAATTTGGTCATAGTCCAGAATTATTCATAAAGTATGGTACTATCCCACAGCGAATTCTAAGTGATAGGGTTGTTTTTTATATTCTCATAGTTTGATTTTCACTTTAAGCCACAGTCTTTACTACAAAATGTAGTTTAAGTATTATTTAATTTTATTTATTTTTGTTGTTGGAATTCATTGAGGGTACAAAGCATTAGGTTACACTAATTGCCTTTGTTAGGTAAATCCCCTCCTACAACTGTGTCCTACCCCCAAGAGGTGTGCCATACACCTTGATCCACTATCCCTCACCCTCCTCTCCTCTCCCCACATGCTCATTCCCCTACCTGCCCCTTGTATTAGCTCACCTGCTGCTTTCATGTTAGAATAGAGTACATTGGATTCTTGCTCCTCCATTCTGTGATGCTTTACAATGAATAATGTGTTCCAACTCAGTCCGGGTTAATACAAAGGATGTAAAGTCTCCATCTTTGTAATGGCTGACTAGGATTCAATGGTACACATATACCACAGTTTATTAATCCATTCCTGAGTTGGTAGGCCTTTAGGTTGTTTCCGCATCTTGACGATTGTAAATTGAGCTGCGATAAACAGTCTAGTGCAAATGTCCTTATGACAAAAGGATTTTTTTTCTTCTGGGTAGATGTCCATAATGGGATTGTAGAATCAAATGAATTTGAGTGTTATTTTATGGTATTCGGAAGAAATAAAATTCTTTGACTTAATCTAATTATATGTAATTATTTTGTCAAGGTTCTTTGATGAAAAGGAAACCTGGGATGTATTTGAGCAGTTCTTGTGGGGTCCGGCGTTTATGGTCACCCCTGTATTGACACCAGTAAGTCCAACCCCATAATTTTGTTCACGAAATAATTTGTCATTGATTTATACGTTTTTAATGATTACATGTTTTAACTGCAGTATGCTGAAAGCGTGCGTGGCTACGTCCCTAATGCTCGGTGGTTTGACTACCACACAGTAAGTGTTTAAGGAATTCTGGGGAACCGATTCAATGGAAATGGGGAATAGTCTAGTTTTAGCCTTTTCATCGATGACATGTATGTTTTACTTTCCACTTAAAAGAATAAGATACTTCCTGCTATTTATAGCTGAATCACACTAACAGTGCAAGAGAGCTAATGTATCCTGCTGTAGTTTGTTATTAGTCATTGAGTTATTTTAGCAAATAAACATGAAAAAGCACATGACAAACAGAAAGGTCATTGCCTTTTACTGGGCATGTAAGATGATCATTAAAGGTAGTTGAGCCCTTCCATGATTAATGCTCGTAGTACCTGAAAGAAAATGCAGGCACGGCTCCTGTGCCCTTTCAAAAACCTTCATATCTCTGCATGTGTGCTCCACAAAATCAATTAGCTATCGATTCTTTCAAAGCTATTGTAAGGACTTATATTTAACGAGGAACTGAAGATATATTTTAAAATAAATGTTACTTCATGTATTTAAGATATATACCATGGTATTATGAGATACATAAAAATAGTATAGTACAATGACTGCTATAGTGAATCGAAGATTTCGTGAATGAATGGTTCTACTTCTTGCTCCTTTTGTTCTTTCTGTCCCTTTCATTTCCAGGGCCTAGACATTGGTGTCCGGGGACAATTTCATGTCTTTAATGCTCCTTTTGATACAATCAATCTACATGTCCGTGGTGGCCACATCCTACCATGTCAAGAGCCTGCACAGAACACGCACTTCAGGTCAGTGAACTGTTCTCAGAGCTCATGAAATTTTGGGGTACAGGAGTTCGAGAGGGTCTGACACTGTATCCCAATTGCAAGCCGCAGTGTCATGATGCTTGGAAAGAGACAAAGTCTTTACTGTTAGACTGAAAAAGAAACTTTAGATTAGCAACAGTTTTTCTAGTCCCACAAGTCTCATTAGGATGACATGGAGTGGCCCAGGCAGTTGCTGCCCACATAGGAGGTTGTGTCACAGCTGAGAAACCCCAAGTTTAAAAAAACAAAATTGACAGGGCTGCAAGCCAACCTGTCCTTTCTTGGCCTTGAAGGGAGACATTCTCTTTTTTACAGTAGATAGTAAAAGGAACCAATGAAACCCATAAAATGATAATGTATTTTCAAAAACTTGCCCGGTCTTCCAATTCTCTTTATTTTAAAATTAGCATTTAAAAGAGTTCAGAAGAAAAGCCATCAGGGTCTGTGCCTGCTAAGATACGCAGAAATGCAAGAGACTAATGGAAAATTGTCGTCTGACAAGACATACACTTTTAAAGTAAGAAAATGTCTCAGACCAAAATATAACTTACAATTCTATGTCCTCTACATATAATATGTGGAAGTATTGACAAATGAGACTTATATGTTGAATGTCTTCATCTTTTGTTCTGCCTCTAACATGTGAAATAAACTATAACTTAGTTCATGAACACATGATTTTCTTGTGAACCAGTTTATAAGAATTTTATTTTTCTAGATCATTTTTGTGTTCACAGCAAAATTAAAAATCCAGAGAGTCTTCATGAACTCCCTGCCCCCTGCTTGCATAGCCTCCCCTATTAACAACATCCCTACCTGAGGGATAAATTAATAAAGTCACCAGAACACAATTTGAATATAGAAAGTGGTGATTTTTATTTATTTATCTATTTATTTTAGAGACAGAGTCTCGCTTTGTCACCCTCGGTGGAGTGCTGTGACATCCCAGCTCACAGCAATCTCTAACTCCTGGGCTTAGGCAATTCTCTTGCCTCAACCTCCCAAGTAGCTGGGACTATAGGTTCCTGGCTGTTTTTTTTGCAGTTTGGCCGGGGCCAGGTTCGAACCTGCCACCCTCGGCATATGGGTTGGCGCCCTACCCACTGAGCCACAGGTGCTGCCCTGAGGTTATTATTATTTTTTTTTAATTTAAATGTACCCACACTGTTGAACTCACTCTGACTTATCATTTCCATCCAAGGTCTGTAGTTTACATTAGGATTCAGTTTGGGTGTGGTGGATTCTGTGAGTTTGAACAAATGTGTAAAGACAGGTTTCTGCTGTTGTAGCACCATGTCCAGTAGTTTCACTGCCCCAATGTCCTCAGTGTTCCATCTATTTGACCCTCCTCCAACCCATGGCAACTGCAGTAAAAAGTTACTGTCTTCATAATTCTGTCTTTTCCAAAGTTCCTGGTAATTGGAATCATAGGGTAGCCTTTTCAAATTGACTTCTTCCCTTAATTCTGTACATTTAGGTTTCCTGCGTATCTTTTTATGGTGCGGTATGTCAGGTTTTGAAGCACTGACTCAGACTCCATTTTCTGAATTTTTTTTTTTACCAACTTTGCATTAAGGTTGCTTGAAGTTTTCTCCTTCCTTCCTGTCTCTTTCCTGTTTCCCTTCTCTGCTTCCTTCTGACTGTCCCGGGATTATTCCCAGACTCTTTATAGTCCCTGAGACGTAGCAGCCACTGGTGATTGTGTTGCTCCTTCAAACTACTAAGTTCCCTGCTGTCCACATAGGAAGCAGACGTGTCTTTTAGCAGCCTCATCCCAGGTAAAGATGAAAGATAACCCGCATTTGCTTTCACTGTTGGTAACTTATGAACAGGACCCTGTCTTCTTCACCTGAGGGCCTCTACCTGGTATCCCCCGTCTTGTTCAGCCATAATGCCACAGTCCATGAGTCACCTTTGTCTTCTGGGATCAGTGTAAAGAGTGAATCTCCTGTACCAGGCATGGAATCTCTATTTCCATCCCCCCAATTCCTGGCTTTCTCCTTCTTATTCTAGGGGACTCAGTCTTCATTTTTCTTTCTTTTCATGCTATTTCAGCTCGGTAGCCTACACACTGATGGTCTCAGTTGGCATGAAGAAACTCACCTCATCTTCTAGAACCAGCCAGCTCTATTTCCATCAATATTCTATTCTGATATCAAATAAGATGAAATCAGTGATTGCATATGATAAACAAAGGCTTCAGGGAGGAATAAATTTATAAGTTGTGCCTTGAGGAATCCTTGCTTTTGTTATGAGACAGGAGAGCGGCATTGTACATGGTAGGATAAAAGATGTGAAACTATTTTTAATCTTATATTTTATTATATCCAATAGAAATTGCAGATTAAACCAGATTTTTAATACTTCTAAGTTATACCCCAGTGACTGTGAACAGAAATGTATATATATTCAGGCTAAGATTTGATAACATCTTTTACCTGGAAAATATCAAGTTATAGGGAGATTTAAACTCCAGGGATGCTGGCTATTTTAGGAGACTTCCAAGACATCCTTCAACATTTATAATTGGAAAAGGCAGCCAGCTAAAACTATTTGTCTGAGAATCCTTTTTTAACAATACAATGCTCCTAAAACAAGTTGTGTCTTATAAATTGCTGGACACTGAACATGGAAGCAAGAGTTTAGTTCATAAATAGGCCTATGTAGGCACATATTTGGGAGGTATTGTCTATTACAGGGATAGAACCTAGAACTTGCTAGCTCCTCTATACTTTCCTATAATAATGGCCAATGATAACACAGAGGTTTATGTATGGAAATGTGAGGAAGACTTGATTCATAAGAGATTAAAAATTAAAATAGCTCAGTGTTTAATGGGCAATAACAGGATTGCAAAAGAGAAGAATAAGTAAAATATCAATAAACTTAATGTGGTTTTAATCGCTATAAAGGAGGCCACTTCTGAGTCGTTAGAGTAAGTAAACTCTTGCGAACAAAAAAACATGCCTGTTTTCTATTGAATGTAAAGAATTTTATGATTTCTATCCAATATCAGTTTGCATTCTGCAAATATTACCCAGATTTATCTTCCTTTGGGCTTATATAGATATGTGGATACAGCCCATAACTAGATATAAGCTAGTCTATAAATACGGATAAATCTATACATTTCTCTCTTACAGTCGACAAAATCACATGAAGCTCATTGTTGCTGCCGATGACAATCAGATGGCACAGGGGACTCTCTTTTGGGATGATGGAGATAGTATAGGTGAGTGTTAAACATAATTGGTGACATGAATATTCTCTTACACTACTTTGATGTGACTTCTCATTCTTTGGAAGCTGAGTATAAGCTATTGTTACCGTTACTCAAAGTTCAAAGACATTACTAATTTGTTAAATCAACTTAAAGAGATAAACAGTGTCACAAATATTTAAAGACCCCTCTTTTCCTTAGTAGAGTTAGTCCCTGTTGTAAATGTCTGAATAACTAGAACTTTGTCCGGGCAGGGATTATATATCTACCACCTTTGTACTTCCAGAAGATAGCACAGGTACTTCACATAATAGACACTGCCTTGAGTCTGTCAACAGTCATATTAAATATTAGTATATGATGCTTTAGGGGAGGAAAAGGGGGATCCTTGTCTTCACCTGATCATAAGGGTCTTAGCCACCACCCCTATAAAAAAAGACAAGTTAACAAGAGAAAGCATAACAAACTTATTTAGTCATAGTTTCATGTGACATAGGAGGTTTCAAAATAAAGTTCTGAAGATATAGGGAAAGGTATCTGATTTTGTACTTAGAGTCTATAAAGTTGAAACAACCATGAAGAAATGTGACTGTACAAAAACTGTACAAGCTCATGGAGACAGCCTGAGTGGGGACACCTAGCAGTGTCCCTCAGTTCAGATTCTTCCTGGCCTCCTGCTAGTAGCATTCCCTCCTCCCGGGTATAAGATAGAACCTCACTGGAGTAAGGATCTAACTTCTTTACATACAGAAAGGTGAGGGTGGTGGTGTTAGAATAGGATTTTTTTTTTTAATTAATTAATTTATTTTTTTTGGCCAGGGCTGGGTTTGAACCTACCACCTCCGGCATATAGAGCCGGCGCCCTACCCTTTTGAGCCATAGGCGCCTCCTAGAATAGGATTTTTAAGCTTTATGGTCAGCTAGCTTTGGGCGAAAATGGGTTTTGTGTCTGCGACTGGAGATGGAGGGTGAGAGACAGGAGAATGGGAGAAGGCCAGAGAGAAACTTGACTTCTGAACCTTTGTTTTGGGTGCCTGTGGAACAAGGGGATAGTCCAGAAACCAAACTCAAGTAACTTTGTTCTCTGGATTTTGTGGGTATTGTTTTTGCTTGTTTGTTTGGTTACTTTTGTTATTAATGTTTAACTTGGCAGAGCCTTCACCCTATTCACATTCCATGACAGATTTTTATAGTCCCTGAAAACTCAATATAGTTCAATTTTTTTTTCCATGATCTCTTCAGACAAGCATACAAAATTGTTGTAGACAATTATATGTTTGTTTTGTTATGTTTCACAATCCCAGTATATTTGATATGGTTTAGTCTAAAATTTTTAAGTAATCCCTTATCACCTCTTTACTTAGCAGCTACCACAATCTACGGCAAATGCCACTTCTCTGGATTTAATAGATCGTAGGCTCCAGAGAAGTTTCTCACCCACCAATCTCGTTAATGGGAACCCATCTGAAAGGATTCCTTCCTTTTTAAACAAATACATTCATGTTTTGTGACACATTATAAGTAATGTGCTAACAAATCATTTCTTTCTCAAAATTAAAAAAAAAATGAAAAAAATTGTAGATCCAGATGAACCTGTCATCAAACTGGTAAACATTAAGTGCATTTTGGCTATTCTAGCTTTTGATAAAGCTAAAACTCAGTAAAATGTTAATTTTTGCTGCTTATCCTAATGAAATAGATATATGGGTGCCCTATATTTCTCTTTGAAAACAATAAAGAGGCTCATATCCTCCTAATAGCCATCACTTTTGTTTAATGTCAGAATTCTGTACTTAAAAATTGATCGTAAAAACTCATGCTAAAATTGTACAGTATGTTTAAAAAATAAAACTAAAATATTTAAAATATTTTAACAATAAAATGTCTCATAGAACATAATAACTTAGTTTTATGACTAAGTTTTATGACATGTTTGTTTGAGCATATATATATATAAAGTTTTAGGCACAATGTTAATTGTAGTGTTTGCAAGATAATTTTAATAGCTTAACAAAAACAATGCTAACATGTGTAATAGTGAAAAGAGCTGAAGTACATTGCTTTACCAATGCTTGTTTCCATTACTCTCCTGTTCTTTCCCCTTTCTGTATTGTACATGCTTGTTTGCTTTTTACATATCAGCCTAATCTTAGAAGTCAAAGAAAATTAGACTTAATTCCAGACTGGGATCATTATTAATTGTTTCATGTTTGACAATTTACTTAACCTCCTTGAGACTTACTTTCCCCTTTTATCCGGTGGGCATGATAATAATACATACTTCTTAGCAGCGTTGTAATAAGTGCTTAGAATTTGGCAGGGAGTAACTTTTTCATAAGTTTTAGCTGTAAGATTATGATTAAAATTGATTGTAAATAGGGCAGGATTATACTTTAGATAAGATGGCAGGTATAAAAGTTACACTTATTAGTTTGATTTTAGTAGAGCTGTCACAACTGAAATTTTCCTTAAATGACAATCTGTTGCTACCACATTTCTTTTCCTTTAAAATTATTTTGTCCATCACTGAGGTGGCAAGTAGGCATTCATTGCCATCACCGCCCAGTTATATTTATTCTTGTACACGTATGCACTTCTGGCTGCCTTTCTGGAGAGGTGTGCTAAAGTGATTTTAGAACTGTTACTGCTGCTACTGCGTCACCTTCCTACACACACAGGCACACACACACACACACGTGCACACACACACACACACACACACACCAATCTACTTGGTCCCTTAGAATCTTTTCTGGTGATTCATCTTTCATTTCTAGCACTCCTTGAACTATGTCTGAAGAAATTAAATAGCTTTAGAAAAAATTAGATATGCATTCATACTACTTTGCTACCCTTTATACCAGAGAGAAGCAAAATATACTAGTATTTACCATTATTCTTTGAAAATAAAAATATGTCACTTTGTTTCTCTCTCTACAGACACCTATGAAAGAGACCTATACTTCTTGGCACAGTTTAATTTAAATAAGGTATGTAAGGTCATTACTATACTATTTTTTAAAGAATATTTGAAGTGTTGTTCTGTGTTTCTAATATAAAAAACCTCATTTCAAATATTTGACAACACAAGTTACTATATTATGAAGTGGAGTAGGAGCTCCACAGTTGACCGCCTCTCTACACTGACCACCTCCCTACACTGACCAAGTTGTCACAGATCAGACATGCACCCATGTGGGTATCAGTACAATAAGCAAGTTCCTTATATAACCACCTCAATGTGTTGGCCACTTTGTTAGAGTCCCTTGGGTGGCCAACTTAACAGAGCTTCTACTATGTATTTTTTGGTTAACAAACATATATTTTTTTAATTTAATTGCTTTGGTAAAGGAAAGGTTAAAATTATTTCTTTTTATCTTTACAGACCACTTTGACAAGCACTATATTGAAAAACGGTTACATAAATAAAAGTGAAATGATCCTCGGGCTCATCTACGTGTTGGGGAAAGGAAATACCCCTGTCAATGCGGTTAATCTAATATATAAGGAAAATACAGTGTCAGTGACTTTTAACCAAGATGCAGCCAACCAGGTAAGTGAGATGAGAAAATATTTTTAAGTGTAGCTATTAATACATCTACATCAAATTCTTATATTTCTCAGCCCTCAACAAGCAGTCAGGATTCTTATGTGAAAGCTTTATTGCTGCCAGTAATTAGCCTTTTACCTTGAAAAAATAATTTTAGCTCTTCTTTTTTTTATAGTTCAATAAACAATATAAAAATAATCTCTTAACCTCTTTTATATCCTAAATTCTGTGAATCTATAGTTTATAGTTTTCAAATAACATATATTCCAGAAAACAGCTAACTGTTGCCAGTATTTGATCTGTTTTAAAGCTGTGCATACGTTGCTGAGACTGTGCGTATGTACACACCCTTCTGTGTTATTTACGTGTTTAATTTAATTTAATCTTCTTTTACTTGTGTCAGGACAGTAATAAAATACACACAGATTTTATTAGATTTACAGTCATTAAATTTTACCTTTTAAGTTCTTTTTTTATAAAATCTGGTATTCTTCCAAAGAGTCTGTACTTTACTGAAGAATGAATTTTATAAAGCTTTTAGGAGAGTGATTGGTGTATACCAGGCAGCAAAGAAATATTGATTTTTTTTTCAATATGCCCCCTCATTTTCATATTTGATCACTGAATCCAAAATTTCTGATCTAAGACAGAGTCTTATAGGTAGGAGAAAAGGTAGCAATGATAAGGTTTTTGAAATCATAGTATCATAAAAATATGACAGATGATCATTTGATTGTAACTGCAGTTGATCATCTCTATGAGTAAGCGCTCTACAGGAGTAATTGAAATTGTCTGTGGTGAAAGAAATTAACACATACAGAATTGTAATTATTGGCAATAAATTAAAAATCAAAAACTTTTTATGATTGAGGTAAAATGATGCCTATTTCTAAATCTAAACTTTGGGTAAAAATAACTTGATAACATTCAAACATGGGAATCATGGAAATTCATGTAGTACAGTTACAAATAATTCCATAATCATGTGCAAAAGTCAAATAATAGGAACGAACATAATTGGCCAAGACTTTTGTCCCTTTACCGTCTCTTTATATTCACTCCAGCCTTCATGGATTTATTTTCATTCTCTGTACAATGGGTCAATTTACTGAGACTATTGGTAAGATGGTTGCAAACTGTCCAAAATAAAAATAAAAATTTATAAAAAGAAAAAAGAAAAACAAAGTACATCCTATTAACTTATAGAACATTTTCCCTCTTTTTTTTTCCTTTTTTTTTTTTTTTTTTTGCAGTTTTTGGCTGGGGCTGGGTTTGAACCTGCCACCTCCAGCATATGGGGTTGGTTTCCTACTCCTTTGAGCCATAGGCACCACCCAACATTTTCTCATTTTTATGACCAAGTAATACTCTCTGTAGTACACATATATCACATTGATTAATCCATCTGTGTACTGATGAGCACAGTGGTTGATTCCACATCTTTGTAATTGTGAATTGGGCTGCAATAAAATTTCTATGCACATATCTTATTGATAAAAGGACTTTTTTCATTAGGTAAATACCCAGTAGTAGCATTGATGGATCAAATGGGAAGTCTACTTTTGGTTCTTTGAGGAAAGGCCATACTATTTTCCTTTTTTTTCATATGATTGTTGGCGATTAGTCTATCTTCTTTTGAAAAGCTGTGTTCAGGTTTTTTGCCCAGTGTTTTATGAGGCTATCTGTTTTATATCTGATCTGTTTGAGTGTTTTATAGATTCTGGTTATCAGCCCATACTTGGATATAGAGTGTACCAATATTTTCTCCCATTCAGTAGGTTGTCAGTTAACTCTATTGATTGTTTCCTTGCCTATATAGAAGCCCTTTAATTTAATCAGGTCCATTTGTTTCTTTTTTTTTCTCCTGTGGTGTGGTGGCCTTCTGGGTCATTTTTATGGAAATAGCCTCCTCTAAAACAGGATAAAACTAAAAATGGGGTGGTTCTGATTAAGCAATTGTCATTTTACTTATTTTTAGTTATTAACCATTGACCTGCGCACTGAACATGTTACTCTCGATGAACCGTTTGAAATCTCCTGGTCTTGAAGGTCACCATCAATTCCAGCCATTGAACAGGAAGAAATACATGGATTCATGTTTTACAGCACACATAATTATCTTTCTTCACTGGTTTCTTATACTCTATAAAATATAATTGTCATAGTCTCTACCTAAATGTGATTGCACAGCGCACGTGGATGGTAGTGTTAATCTTACTATATTAGCATGGCCTGGATTCAGTTTTCTAAAACATGTCAAACAGAATGTGAATAGTGCTACTTATCCATGTTACGTATCAGCTAAATGTAAACTAGTGACTAAATATGTATATGTATAGCTAGGACATAAATTGAATAGGTAATTCTAAATTAGGTGAAATCCTTGTGTAATGGTAAATTATATATAATAGTTCCTCAGTGTTTAGTAGCATTGAGATATGTAACAACATTTTTCATAAGATTTAATTATTTCTTAATATGTACATTTAATTATAAAATGAAATAAAAGGTATATAGTTACATCAAGTGTGCATTTTTCTCTTTATTTTCCTATCCTTAGTCAGTTTGGGCTATGGTAACAATTACCATAGACTGTGAAGCTTAAATGACACTCATTTCTCACAGTGCTGGAGTCTGTTCTGGAGTGTTGGAGACTAAGGCATTAGTAAATCCAGTGTCTGATGAGGGCAAGCTTTTGGGTTTGCTGACATATATCATCTCATACTTGGACCCTCAAATGGCAAATCTAGAGAGGAAACCATGCATCTCATGCCTCTTCTTATAAAGGTGTCAATCCCATCACAAGAGCTCCATTCTCACGACCTCATTGTCGCTCACACTTCCCCTCTCCAAACACCATGACTTTGGAGTTTACAGTTTCAAAGTGTGAATTTAGAGGGCAAAAAACTCATCTGAGAAATCCAAATTTTTTTTTCTGGTTTTGCTTTATATCCAAGACAGAGAAATAAGGAACAACATCCAAATTGGAAAGGAGGAAGGGAAATTGTCCTTGTTACAGATGGCTTCATCATATACATAGAAAAACCTAAAACATCTACTAAAAAACTGAAAGAACCAGAAAATACATTTGGAAAGGTTTCAGTACATAAACTAAAAATAAAAAATTCACTAGTATGTTGGCATGCCAGTAGCAAACTATCTGAAAAAGAAATCAAGAAAAAAAAATCCATTTGTAATAGCTCCAGAAATAAAAAGTACTTAAGAATGAATTTAACCAAGGAGGCAAAAGATCTCTACACTGGAAACTATAAAACATTGACAAAAATTGAAGAAGACAGGAATAATTGGAAAGATAGCTTGTGCTCATAGATTGGAAAAAAGTAATGTTTCTGAAATGCTCATGCTCAAAGTGATCTATAGATTCAATCAGTATCCAAATCTCAATGAAAGTCTTGCAGAAATAGAAAAAACTTCCTAAAATTCATAGGGAATGAAAAGACCCCCAAGTAACCAAAGCAACCTTGAGCAAAAACAAACAAGCATACAAGCACAACAAAGCTGCAGGCATCATATTATCTGACTTCAAAATACCCTGCAATGCTGTAGTAACTAAAACAGCATGGTGGTGGCATAAAAAGACACACACAGACCAGTGAACAGACAGTGTCCAGAAATAAATCTGTGCATTCAAACTCACTGATTTTTATCAGAAACACCAAGTGTACACATTGAGAAAACGACTCTGTCTTCAATAAATGGTGCTGAGAAATCTGGATAGTCACATGCAGAAGAATAAAACTAGATCCCTATTTCTCATCATACACAAAAACCAATTCAAAATGGATTAACGACTCAACTTGAAGGCCTGAAACTGTAAAGCTAGTTGAAGAAACCAAGGAAAACGGTTCATGACATTGGTCTGGGGAAGAAATTTTTGGATAGGACTTAAAAAGCACAGGCAATAAAAGGAAAAATAGACAAATGCGCTTACATTAAGCTAAAGTTTCTCCATAGGAAACGTGGAAAAAAATCATAGAGTAAAGAGAAAACATACCAGATGGAAGAATACATTTGCAGATTATTTACTTGACAGGGTATTCATATCCATAATTTATAAGGTATTCAAATAACTCAAAGCAAAAATGTAATTAATCCAATTTTTACAAGTGCTAAGGACCTAAACATACACTTCTGAAATAGATACTTAGAAGGTCTGTTATCACCCGGCAAGTGTGCAGAGGAAGGGGAACTGGGGCACTTTTTGTGGGAAGATAAATTAGTACAGTCATTATGACAAAACTAGCGAAATTTCTCAAAAAACCGAAAACCAAAATTACCACATGGCTCAGCAATTCCATTGCTGTGGAGGCATCCAAAAATATTGTACAATTGTGTATGTAGAAGAGATTTTCACTCCTCTGTTTATAGCAGTACTACTCACCAAAGCCAAGAGATGGACTCGGCCTCAGTGCCCATCAATGGATGAATGGCTAAAGAAAATGTGGAATCCACGCAATGCCATTCACGATGAAAAAAGAACGGAACCCTGTCATTTGTAGCAATATGGATGGAACTGGAGAACACAGTGTTAAGTGAGATAAGCCAGGCACAGAAAGACTAGTACGGTACAATCTCACTCATATTTGGAATCTAAGCGAAATCTCACAGAAGTAGACAGCAGAAGAGCAGTTACCATAAAGCTGGAAATGAAAGAGAGGAGGGAAAATGTAAGGAACTTGGGCAGGGGTACAAATTTTAGAGAGGAATATCTCATTCAAAAATTATATTCCGTAGTAGTAGAATTATATTCTATCTAATGACAAGTAACTATGGAGATCCTGAAAGCTATTACCACAAAGGTTTTATAGAATTTGAGGAGATGGACAATGCCAACTGCCTAGAATCGTTCATTGTACAATGGATATACATATTGGGTTATGAAACATTATATTATGCCCCAAAACATGTCTAATTTTTGCATGCCAATTATACAAAATAAAAATGTATTAAAAAAATTAAAGATTTGTTTAAAAACTCTCTACAAAAATTCAATTCCAGCAACCAGTATTCATCTTTATGCCTATCCCACACTGAGTACTTTGGCGTGGCACTAAGTATTGAAATCGGGAAATATTAACATTCTATTCTTTTTCAGAGTAGTTTTGGATACCCTGGGTTTCTTGAATTTTATTGTTATAAGTTTTAGAATCAGCGTGTTTGTTATAAATTTTAGATTTGTCCATTTTCTACAAAAATGGCACATGAGTTTTTTTTTAATTTTTATTTTTTTATTTTAGTTTCGTCCCAGTAGGTGATTACTTTGAAAGAGATTGCATTGCCTGTTACATCATTTGAGGGAGTCCTGCCATCCTAACTATATTAAGCATTCCAGTCCATAAAAATGAGATATTTTACAATTTATTTTAATTTCTAAAACATTTTTCAACAATGCTTTGAAATTTTCAGTGCATAAATTTTGTATTTATTTTGTTAATTTTAGTTCAAGATAATTTATTCTTTTTAATGCTTCTGTAAGTTGAATTGCTTTCCCATTTCATTTTCAGATTATTTATTGCTCATGTAGAGGAACAGAATTGATTTTTGTGTATTATTTGTTATAATAGTTTTCTGGAAGGAATTAATTAGGATTTTCTATTTAAAAAAAAAAATATGTCATCTCTAAATAGAGATTAGAATGCCTTTCCTTTATCCTGCCTAATTGCCTAGGTTAGAAACTTCAGTTCAATTTTTAATAGAAGTACTGAAATCAGACATTCTTGTCTGATTCTTGATCTGAAGGAAAAAACATTCATCAGTGTTTCACCACTAAGCATGTTAGCCATTAGTTTTCTTGCTGATAATCTTTATCAAGTCAAGGATTTTCCCTTCTAGTCCTGGTTTATTGAGTCTTTTTGCCATGAAAGTGTACAGGATTCTGGGAGGTGCATTTTCTGCATCTCCTCAGAGAGTCCTGTGGTTTCTTTTCTTTCTTACATTAGTACGATGCACTGTGCTGGCTGTTTGTGGGATGCTAAGCCAACCCTGCATTTTTGAGATAAGCCCAGAGTAGTCATGGCTTATCATCTTTTCTCTATGTTGATTTATTTTGAAATAGAATGGTAGATGCGAGAGAAGGATGGACCCCACTCCAGATATAATTAATTAATAGAAATTTATTGATAATTTTGATACACCTGCAGGGGGCTCTTGTGGTGGGCCAACAAGAAGCCTCGAATAACGGGAGAGAAGCCTTTTTATACCATTATTCTGCACAGTCATGGTGACTAGCAAGCTAGCGCAATACAGAAGCCAATCATAGCAGTTAGCAGAGCTCAATATAGCTCAGGGGTTACAAAATAAGGGTACATATTGATTCATTCATCACAAGATATATCACAAGTACATTACTTCATGATCATAAGACAGGGTATGTCATAGGGGTTCACACAATTCAGGGTGGGAGTACATGTTTACATAGGGTACATTAGCTCATAATTCAGGGGTACAAAACAAGTGTTGGGTAAATTTCCGAGAACAACTTGGGACCTTTTTATCCGGGGCTTTATTTGGAATCTAACCCCTCCCTTCCTCAACCCCTCCCTGTGTACTTCCTCAATTTAGGAATTTCTCTACCCTTGAGAGGGCTGGAACTAAAAGCCTAGGAGAGGCTTCCTTTTCAAGGGTAGGGGGCTTGTTCCCTACTGGTCTTAGGGAGGGGATCAAGGGCTGGGGGCTTGATTATTACAATTTGTTGTATATGTTTTTTAATTTAAAAGCCTAACTGAGGTTTTATTTTGCTATATAAAACGAAGAAATCTTTAATACATAAGACAACATGGTGCATGTGTGTGTTTTAAAGAAGAAAATGGCAGAAGCACAGACCTGGGTAGAAAAATACATTCAGGCATCGATTCCAAGCAGTTCAGAACTCCTAAAACCATGAACAAAAGGACACAAATCTCAGGCAGCATTTTTTTCCTTAAAAAATTTATTCACATTTGCTTAAAACATGGTGAGAAATACAACTTTCCCATTTTATTAATGACGTTTATGTCCTCAACAAAAACATTAAAGATGTGTTTATGT